AGAGCTCACATTCATCAAGCTTAAATATCAAATGACCGAAAGCACAGTGAACGTTGGGAGAGCAGGACACCAGGTCCCTGAAGGTGATTATGGCAATTGTGAAATCAACATCATTCCCTTGTTTTCACACTTAGCTAGTAAGACAACCTAAATGACCAACAATAGCGCAGTGGCTAAATAAACTTTATGACATATCTACTTGATAGATAGTATAGAACCATAAAAATGGGGTCTGTGAAGAACACATCACAGCATGGAAAATGGCACGATCAGAGCTGTCACGAGTGCATTTGGGAAAGACCAGAAGACAATTCACAGGAGGTAAACTGGGAGATTCCATAAAAGTAACAAACCAGTACTTGGGTTCTTTCTTTTTGCACTGTTTTCTTAAATCTGCATAAAATTTGTCCTTAAATTATTCTTTAAGCTTTAAAAGGTGATAAAAAGGGTAATCAAAGAGCTATGACATGCAATCAATTTATACACTAAACATAAATTCTATTATACATAGTTCATTCTAAACATTTTTTCCTTTGTGTTTTTGTTTAAATATAATGACTACATCAAGTCAGCTCATCATTATTTTCCTGATGACTGTGAAATGTCCCCTATTGCTGGGTGAGAAAAAGGTACAGCTGGTTGGAATCCTAGCCTCCTAAGCCTGATGCTACAGTGTTGTTACAAGCCTGTTACTTCACTTCTCTTAAAGTGACATGCCTACATTGTTGGGTTATTAACGACAGTAATACTTATCGTTATTGTTGCACATGAAATTATAGGAAATGTTTTAGGTATCAAAAGATTTATATTCTGTTTCTTCTCCAAATATTTACCAACAACCAGGCACTTTACACAAACTACTTCATTTTAGCTCTAGAACAACTCTCCAAGGTATTATTCTCCCTGGTTTAAAGAAAAAGCAAGAAAAGTTCTGTAATTTGCTCATTTTTACACAGTGACTGGGGAAAAATTACAATCCCTTTTGGTCTAACTTAAAACTTTGAGTGAAAGTAGAAGAGACATAATTACAAAAACTCCAAATACACTACTGCCATACAGCAGGTATTTCCAAAGTGGTCAATATGATATCATTGGCTACGCCTTGCCCAGGCTCCAAATTCTGAAGTTTGAATTCTCTGATGGCTTATAGATCCCTTTCCGTGAACAAGTGCAGATTTCAATGGGGAGGTGCAGTGCAAACACCACCTGTGTCCTTAGAGCTGGGACTATGAGTCACTAGGAAACGATTTCTGTTTCCTTCTGGCAGTATCATTTGTTCTCACATGCATGCGCAGAAGTGGTAGATGGGATGTTTGATGAGCCTTGGCAGAGCCTGTCACGTCTCAGATACACCTCTTGAGAAACCACGCGGCTTCCTCGGATGGGCACTCAGTACCCAGCAGCCGGTAGGTCTCTGCTTAATAAGGAAACCCATGCAGCCCTATGGGCTTATGCTAAAGTGCTGTTCCAACTGTTCTCTGTATGGTTTGGCTGATTCTTGTTATCCCTCTCACTTTTCCCCTCAAAGCAGAGGCCTCAGGATCATCTCAGATGCACATAGAACTACTGCTATAATAATATCTTGCAGAGTGGGTGCCAAGGGTTGGTGAGAGACGGAAACATGTAGGACACTTTGGTAAAGGAGAGGGTGGGATTTAAAGCATCTTTCAAAGACAAAGAACATCAAAAAGCTGGTCTCTCAGAGCTCTGGCCCCCGTGAATATCAGTACTTTTCTAATCTTTTGTAGTTTTGGTCCCTCTCTAGAAATATACCCACCCAGACCATCCCCCACCCCCATCTCTTAGCCTTACTCTTGGCTCAAGTGTAACTAACTTTAGCTTGTAGTAACTTGCTTTGGTCTCTAGAGGGAGGCAATAGCATCAGGGAGGAAGGGGCACAGAAAAGGGTCTTGTCCCATGTCACCATTTTTGACAAATGGGAGCATTAGTTTTCCTTTAACTGGGAACAAAAAAGTATTCAATAGAGACTTAACTTTGATTCTGTCATATCTCTCATAGAACCATGATTTCCCCACCCCATCTTCCTCTTCCTCTTGGGGTTTGCTAGAACTTAGGAACTATTTCCTGATTTCCAGGGTAGAGATGAGGGGAAAATACGAAAAAATTGTAAGGCAATCTTGGCAAGAAATAGTCTCTCATTTTTTTTTTAAAAAAAGCACAATAGCACCTATTTAGGAGGCAAGATTGGGGCTGGAGCTGCAGCTGGGGTTAGGGAAGTCTGAACATGTAGTAAAAAATTTCAGACATTCTTTTGTGGAGTATTACGTCTCAAACCCAGGTCTCATTAACACTGCCAGAAGAAACTGCAGAGTGAGAATTGGACTTAAGGTCCAGTTCTTCTGGGTCTGCATTAAGCTGGCTAATACATCATCCTAAAAAAGGGGGGTGTTTCAAGAGTGTCAGACAAACTAGTAATGAGAAACATTGTCAGCTTAGTCAGTGGCACTAACCTCCTGGCTGAGATACTCTGTGCTTCATGAGAAAGGGCAGGGAAATGAAGAAGGGAGTTAACTAACCTTTTCTTGAACATTGGTTTTGAGTGTCAGGTTTTTGGCTGGTGCTTTCTATGGTTCATCTTTTGTCATCTAAGCAATTCTAAGGCAGCCATTATGCAGGTGGGGAAACTGAGGCTTAGAGAAATGAAGTAACCTTCCCAAGACTACACAGCAAGTGTGACCTAGCTGGAATACAACTTCAGAGCTCTCTTACTCCAATGTCTGTGATTTTTCTCAGCTCCCACAGAAAAGATAAAAGACCTGATGCTCAATGACGTTATTTTCATGGGGAAACCAAGATCTCCTTCCTCAGTAAGATGCACATTTTATTGCCTTGAGCCTGTAGATCTTTATGTTTTTAGGATGAAGGCAAACAAGTCTCAGTATATGTTGAAAAGTAATCTGGAGGCACTAAGGTACTTTTGTCTTTACAATACTTCATTTAGTCCTCATTCTGGAGGGACACACTTCCCATACTCCAAAGAAAGGGAAACTTATGGTAGCTATTTTAAGATATAAAGAAATTGGTGTAGTGTGTGTGTGTGTGTGTGTGTGTGTGTGTGTGTGTGTGTGTGTGTGTGTTGGGAATGGGACACAGGACAGGAAAAGAATCTTCTAGAATGGAGAGGACATAACTGGTTGGCAGTGAGGAAGCAGAAACGAAGCTGGTATGTTCAGAAGGGAAGGGTGGGGGTGTCTGAGTGACTTGTGCAGGGCTGAATGCCTAAGACCAGCTGCTGAGAGAGATGAATTTTGTCTGAGCTCCTTGTACAAATGTAAGTGTAGTGAAATCAAAGGTTTCAGGTGGTCTCTGTCCTGTGAATCTCAGACCTTCCACTTCTAGTCTTTTTCTACCCCCAAAGAAGCCTTTCTGTGTACCTAATACTTTAAGCAATGCTTTTCCTGCCCCGCCCTACCCAGGATGAGGTGCTGACCTAGGCCCAGCTGGGGGGCAGCTTTATGGATGTTCCTACTGCTTTTCATCCATACACGAGGCTCATTTGTGCCAGTTGAAAGGGCACAATAATAACAGTGGCAATTTAAATCGTGCTTCTCACTTTCCCCCCTGAAAAGTGGCAAAGTGACTCACCACCACTGAATTGTCCCTCCCTCTCCACCCCCTGACCTCTTTGCAGCAGTCCAGGATGGTTCCCTGGGGGCTCAGTTGGGAGCCACTGCTTCCAGCCATCCTTTGGCTGTGACTAGGCTGACACCACTCCCCCCATAAATGTGTTCTCCCAAATGCAATGTATTGTTTTAATTAGAATTTCTCAGATGCAGCCGATTGGAAGGCAGTAGAGCAGCATGAGCCTCGTTAGGCAAGCACAGTGCCCCCCCCAAGCATGAACAACACAAAATAGGGCCCATTCAGTAATTATTTTGAGGGGGGTTCTACTTGTTTTTCTATGTGCATTTTGATATGCAATTCACTGAGTTGCAGCTTCTGTTGGGGCTGCTATAAGAGCAGGTCTCGGGGAGCTATGAAACAGTCCCATACTCCCTCCTTGTCCCTTACCTCCATTCCTCCCCATTTTCAATTCTGCCATGCTATGACCAGAGAAAAACACTCATTCTTGCTTTTCTTTCAGCACCAGCCTGAGGAGAGCTCCCAGAACTGGAGGGGGTGAGGTGCAATTAGATGGTGAAGAGAGACAGACAAAGTAATTATGCTGAGTACTCTTGGTACTGTCAGTAAACTCAAAAGAAAGAAGCCCTGGGAAATGATACTGTTTGATAAAGACTTCACTGTCTAGCAGGAATCAGAGCACTTTTATTGAAGCAGCCTGCTATAGCGGAATGATTTTAGGGAGCAGGGCAGACCTGAGTTCAAATACCAGCTCTGCCTCCTATGATCTGCATGACATTGGGAAGAGGACTTAACTACTCTGAACCTGATTTCTGAAGTGCAAAATAGTGATAATTATACCTCTAACTACCTCTCAGCCTCATTGTGAGGACTGAAGGAGATAATACATATAATGACACTTAGCACCATACCTGGTACACAGGAAGTGCTTAATAAATGAAAACAGTATTATGATGATTATCACCATTCCTCCTATATACCAGGCAGTCTCTGTAGCAGCCCCACATTTGAAGGGAGGGTCTAATAAATGCAATTATGTATGATCACGTCATAAGTATGAAGAGTGTAATTGTGATAGCCCCGAGGAGGGAGCCCTCAACTAGGAGGGAGGGGTAGAAAAAAGCAGAGAAAGTTTTATGATTCTTGAGTTAAGTCTTAGAAAAATAAGTAGGAGTTTGTCATTAGGCCCAGGGGGAAAGGGCTTCCAGGCAACTGAATCTGCCCACACACAAAGTCAAAGAGGTGTGAAACAGCCAGGCCTTGAACAAATACTTGTGCTCAGCTGGAGACAAACTGGGACCTCCTGGTGGGGTGGTGGTGACATGGGTCAGTGACCAACAATCTTTCCAGGTTACTCCCACTAGCCCCTGCACCGCGCAGCGCATTAGGCACCCTACCTGGTCAAATCGCCTGCGAAGCCCTCCTCTTCATTCTTTAAGCAGCAGGTAAGTTCACACCCTGCCTCAGCAGATTTGGCAGGCACAGCGAGGCGATGGGAGCGCTGACCTCCACCGAGATCAAGCCTATTGGTGCCCCTGCTGGGGTAGCCAGCCCACACCTCCTTCCTTGACCCAATCTTGGTGCAATGTTCACACACACACACACACACACACACACACACACACACACACATACACACACACACCATGCAAAAGATCACCTGGGTTTTTCTAAATAACCCTGTGCTTGTACACACACACCATGCAAAAGATCACCTGGGTTCTTCTAAATAACCCTGTGCTTGTACACACACAGACACAGACACACACACACACACAAACAGCATGCAAAAGATCACCTGGGTTCTTCTAAATAACCCTGTGCTTGTACACACACA